AAATAAATAAATAAAATCTTAAAAAAAAAGTCATTGCAAATATAACAAAATAATTAAAAAATATTTTATTGATTATACTATTACAGTTGTCCCAATTTTTCCCCTTTGTCCACTTTTACCTGATTCCTCTAAAAGAATGCTGATAGAATTCCTGGGAATTTTGAAAGGGGCTCTTCAGCCGTAATGTGGAAAAGGATATGGGCTATATAAGCTTTAGCCCCTATCATCTGTTCAGAAATTGATATTTTGGAAGTTTGTAACTCTTAATTTTGTTGTTGTTGACCCCTTTCCTACTCAGTAATATTTTAGGAAAAATTCCAGCCTATCTCTGCTGTATGAAAGGAACACTTTGCTAAAGAAAGGGTAAAATACACAAGAAAGGCACTTGTCAAGGATGTTGGTCAGCAACCTTCTCCCAGGACCCACCTAGAGACTTTCCTTCTTGTGCCAAAACCTTAGAAATGCTGTGTTTTATTATATTAAAGAAAGAGAATGTCTTCAACACCAAGAGACTCAAAATGGGTTAGGATAAAACATTTTGTAAGACATTCCCTTCCTGCTAAGGGTCGCCCTTTTAAGCTACTACTATTATCTCAATATAGAAAGCCGACTGAACAACACACAGCAAAAGAAAGGATGATCCCTAGTAACTGACAAAATTAGTTCTCTATAATACAATCTAGAGAAAAGACAAGGTGGAAATATAGGCAAAGACAATAGAGATAATAAGAGCTCTGAGACTGCATGATAAACATTGTGAGGTAGGACAGTAAGAAGCTAGGAAAATTCCAGGGCAAGTGTTACCGAACAAAAGGTCCAAGGGGGGTGGGCAATACAATTTTTGGTCCACCTAGGGATGCCAGAAACTGCTAAAGAACAGGGGCCCCTACCAAGGACAGAATACTAGTATCTACTGGGCTCTTCTGTCCGCTGCCAATTGGAAAGACATCTCTCAATGCCAGAGATTTGTGAAAAGGAAACAAAATGTTTATTTAATGCTATTAAGGCCTAATGCCTCCACTAAAATATCAAAGTCCTTTAGGGTATACCCCTACACCCACACAGCGCTCCCTTCTCCCACTGTCCCAACTCCATGTACCGTAAATCAGGAAAAGAGCACACATCTGTGTTGCAGGCAGCTGGCACTGTCAGCTGTGTCACTGTGCAGGCAGGATCTCTCTCGAGTTAATCCAAAGTACTGTGGTACCCTCTCATGGTCCACTGGCAAGAGTCCTTTCTACCCAATTCCAGTCAAAGTCTCTCTTGCTTTTTTTTCAGGCCACGCGGCCAAAGGGGGCACCCCAAAGCCGCATGGGCCTCTTCTACCAAAGCTGCAGGTGTTTGCACTCCACCAAAAGCATGTGGCTTTCTTCTTCACCTGGCTGCAAGGATCTCCATTCTGGCAAAGCTGCGTGGTTTTCCCTTTCACCTGGGCAGGTTATCCCCTCATGTCCCGGAGCCAGTCTTTTCCAAGCTCCCACACACCTTCTTCCGGTTTTTGGTCCAGTTCATCCCCACTCCCTCTACTCAGGAGTGCAGACCCTAGTTACATTCTGGGTCCCCCTCCACTCCCTTCTCTCTTGCTCAAAACTTGGCCACTGCTATTTAACATATCTATGAAACCAGTTAAAGGTTATAGATATGTTAAATAACCATTCCTCCAGAGGTTAGCTCCAAAACTGTTGCCATGCAAAATAGCTCTCAATGGCTTGGTTCCATTCGTCCCTTCCCCCCTGGGGGTGGGGGGCGGTGAGGACATCTTATATGTCTCTCCAATATTTCTATACACTTTGAATTCTGGACACCTTTCTAAATCTTTTTTTTGGGGGCCCCCCTGGCTGCACCCTGTATCACTCTCACCAAGGACACTGGAGAATGAATGGTTTATAATTCTCCCTAACCAAAGAGTAAATACATAGTTTAGATCTCCCTTGTCTGGGAGATAGAGAAGATCCAATTAATGTAATTTGTGCCAGCTAAACTCAAGGTCAGATGAAGTCAGGGGTTTTTGTTTCAATAACAAAAACCCTATTAAAAGCCAGACAGATTCAAGATAAAAACAAAACAGTGTAATGATCAAAGAATATTCCCAAAACCTCCTATGCACTCATTTTGATGTATCAGTGTACTAAAAAATGCACCCGGAAAGCTAACGAATATACTGAACACTTCCCCTAAGATTCTCACCTGCAGAAAAAACATAAAAAGCCCCCAGAACAAAGAAGCAGCACAGGCTCACTTGAGAGCACACCCTGCCCCTTCTTGGGCAGCAGCAACTGGATCTAGGCTTAGCCCTGGATCCTGTCCCTAGGGAACCCTTTTTCCTCTGACTTCAGGTGCATTAACAGCAGCCCCATCTTGCCTCTCTCATTACTTCTACCTCAGGTCCTTCCTTTGTTTCATTGTCCCTGGCCTTAGTAAACATACTATCAAAATCACCTGAACTCATGCTGTGAAATCTTTCCTAACAAGTCAAGAACCCACCCACTATAGGCCAGCCTAAGGTAGACATTATCTGGGTAGGCACCTTTCTGATAGCAGATGGATAAATTACACTAATGTAGGGTTTCTCAGCTTCTGCACTGTTGGTATTTTGGACAGAATTCTTCGCTGTGGAAGGCTATCCTGTGTACTGAAAAATACTTGCGGCATCCTTGGCCTCTGCCCATTAGAGGCCAGTAGCCTCCCTCTCTTGCAACATCAAAAATGTCTTCGAATATTGGCGGGACCCCTGTAGGCCCAAATTACCTCCTGTTGAGAATCATAACACTAGTGCTTTTCAAATACTAATGTACATACAAATCAGCTGGGGGCGGGGGTGGGCTTGTTAAATGCTGATTTAATAGGATTGGGGTATCTGGTCCAAACTAGATCCCAGGTGAAGCCCCTGCTGCCCATCCAAAGACAACACTTGCTTCTTAGAGAACCTACAGCTTTCTACCAGTGAACGTGCAAAGGTCCTCAGAGAAGAAAGTAGATGTGTACACTTCAGGTTTAATCATTGAAAATACTTTCCAGCAGGATCTGCATAACATATTGTTATAATGCTTTTACGAATGCAGAACTGAACATAAATGAAAAGTTTGTTTTTCTAAACTTCAGAGCGCTTTGTAAACTCCTATTACAGCAGTTCTCAAAACTTTTGGGCTTAGGATCCATTTAACAGTTAAAAATAATTGATAGCTGTTAAGAGCTTTTGGGGACCAGCCGCCAAAACTGAGCATGTGTGGAACGTGCCGGGAGTCCACTCCAGGAGGAGGGTAGAGGAATACTATCCGACCGGCATTCCAGAAGAATCTTGCGTTCCACGCGGATCCACCGGATCGTGGGCGGAGCTGAGCACTTGTGGGCGGGCTGGCAGGAGTTACACCTTTGCTCCTCCTACGCTATTCCATTGCTTTCTTAAAGGGCGCCTGTGGCCATTGGTGAAGCTGGCAGAGGTGGATATTCCCGCTGCGGACGCACTTCCTTTTCCACGCAGGAAGGGAGGGGGAGGACCGAGAGGTGCCCTGTAGGAAGCGCATGCGCTTTTCGCAGGCGGACCTGAATCGAAATCCAGGGCTTGATTCACCGCCCCTCCGGGAGTGCGCCTGCGCGGTCAGTGGTCCCTCCAACCGTGCTTTCCCCTCCCCCTAGTCGCCCGCCGGGGCTCTGGGTTAGGCGGAACCATGTTCTGCAGCACCGGCTCCAGTGGGCTTTGTGAGTACCGGCCGCTGCCATCCCGGCTGTCCCCCACACGGCACCCTGTGCACCTCCTTGAAGGCTGGAGGCAGCGGGGGCCCTCGTGGTTGCTGGAGGTTTGGGGGCCGATCCTTCATCCTGGCGCCTGCACCTTGGTGATCCCTGCCCTTTGAGGGCAGAGATTTTGTCCCGCCACCAGCCCAGGCCTCCCACCTATGAGCCCCAGGTGCCCCGGGGACTGCAGCAGGTCGGTTGGGCAGTTAGGCTCAGACCGGGTGCCCTGGTGATCTCCTGCCCGGCCCGTGTCCCTCAGCAGTGCGCGAGTCAGCTAAAAGAAGAGGCTGCTCGCTTCCTTGTCTCCGTGCTTCATTCATGTAGGCAAAGAGGGAACAACTGGGACTTCCCCAGATGTAAATTCCAGCCTCTGGTTCAGGAGCTGACCTTGGGTTTTACGTAATTTCTCTCTTTCTTAATTTCACAGAAGAGTTTTTAGACAAACAAAAACTGGTTAAAGTACTTTGAAAGTGGAAGGAAGCTAGCGGTCGTATGGCAGGAAAGCGTGGATGTTATGGCTAGATGTTGCTATGGTGTTTTTTACTTGAGTGTTAGAGGTGTTGAGATGGGACAGAGAAGTAGCTGTGGCCTTTTAAACTTTTTCTCACTACAGTTGTTTAATTGATTTTGATAAGGCGGACTGTATGTTACGTGAACAGCACTGAGATAAGACGTTGGTATAGCAACACTGAATTGTTTGAAGAGGTATAATTTTTCAATTCCTTGTCACTGTTAGTACTTCCTGTATTTATATATGTGAAGTTAGCCTTGCCAGAGTAAAAGAAGCAGTGGACATTTCCAAATATTAAGGGTCTATTGTGAATGGTAAGAATCTATTTTTTTGAGAATATATGTCTTTGTGTGAGAGTTAGTATCAGAGACACAGGCATGATTTTAAATCTTCATATCTCAATTTCTCAGGTTTTGAAGTGGGCTTAATATTTATGATCTTCCTTGTTTCATAGTTAATTTGATTTATGGCATCTTTCAAGCATTGGTCTGAGAGTTACATTACAACTAAGTATTAAATACAATACTTAATTTTGTATTTAATTTTCACCAAACTACCCTTTGGATAAAGAATACTATGACTGTTGATGAAACTAAGAGTCAGGAAGGTGATATGATTTTCCTGGGATCACACAGTGAGCTATATGCTAGTGGATACAAAATTAACAGTAGAATTCTTCATTTTTAGCTGGTCTTTCAGTATTTTGAGTTATCTTTCCTTACTGACCAAAATGTATATAAAAGTTTAAAAGGGCAAGACTATACTTTCAGGGATAATTTCTATAGTTTGTTACTAGGGAAGTTTCTCTGAACATGTGGAGCACCTGAAACCATGAGGAAGAGATGGAGTGTTCTCTCCTGAGCGCAAAGCTGGCTTTTGGTGTTGCTTCAGTAACTGCCATTTGCCATTGGTGATTGTTCTTTGTTTTGGGAGAGCAAGAAGGAGAGAACATTGTTTCAGTGGGAGAAAAAAAATTTCAAAAGGCAAGTGAAATCTGTCCTTGGTTACCATACTGTATTAGCTATTATACTGGTCAAGTCTATACAAATTTGATACATGGTGACTCTGGGGAAAGTAATACTTGATAACCTGTGGCACAAGCTGGATAAGTATTGAATTCTAGGTATCATACTGCTGCCCAGAGAGAGGCCCAAGCCAGGGTTCCTTTAACTGTCTTGCCCAATTTCTAAAATAAGTGTATTCACAGTGTAGGAGTTGATGGGATGGCCATTCCTCAGAAGACCATGTCTTATATGTTTATTTAACAAACATTCTGGGCATCTACTATGGGCCCAAAACTGCTAGGTGCTGGGGGTGCAAGGTTAAACAAGTCTTGGTCTCTGTTTACAGTGCTCACAGTAGAGTTTAGGCACAATTTTTCCAGGACTGGTCTTTTGGCAAGTCTGGATGTGAGCTGTTACCCTGCTTTAAAATTTTTTCTTTGCAAGTTTACCCACTAAGAGAGAAGTGATTTCCTTTAGGTTAGAAATGTGGCTCTTAAGTAAATCAGAGTTCTGATACTGATAATGTATCCTGAGGAACAATAATCTGCTTACCCCTGCCCCCATGAGTGGTGAAACATTCTCTTTTTGAGGGAAAAATCTCTGCCATTTTCTACCATCTGCATGTTTCCCATGTTTTGTGACAAGCACATAGTTGTATTTTAGTGTTACATTTGCTCCCCCAGTTCATTTATTCATTCAGCAAGTGTCTGTTGAGTACCCATATAAGCCACATACTTTGTACATACAGTAAAATGGTTAGCAGGATAATGGAGACCAACATTAAATAGGTTAATAAATAATGTGGTTTCATGTAGTGTTAAGTGTTATGAAGTTAATAAAAGGGTAATGGCAGGGAGGGACAGGTTATGGTGGATGACTGCTTTAGTGTTTGGGGTTAGGGAAGATAACTGGGATGGTCACCTCAGTGGTGAGAAGCCAGCTCTATCAGAGTTTGTTGGAAAACATGCATATTGCAGAAAGGGAACTGCAAGCATAAAGACTCTGAAATAAGCATAGCAAGTAATTTTCAAGGTACTAAAGAAAGCAGGGGCCACCAAGACAGTAAATTAGGGAAGGGCATTTTGATTTGCTTTCTCTTTTTTCTAATCCTCATCTGAGGACATACTTATTGATTTTAGAAAGAGAGGAAGGGAGGGAGAAACATTGATGAGAGAGAGAAATATTGATTGGTTCATTGCCTCTAATACATGCCCTGACCAGGGACAGAACCTGCAACCCAGGCATGTGCCCTGACTGGGAGTCAAACCTTTAACCTCTTAGTTTACAGGGCAGTGCTCCAACCAACTGAGCTACAACAGCCAGGGCTGATTTATTTTCTTGTTACAAATAGACTTCTCCAACTTCTTCACTGTCTTTCACAATGACTGTGATCACAAGACTCTTGATCCCCTCATTGTTTCCAGTTTACAGCCCACTTTTGGCATCTTCCATATCCAGTCTGGAATCTGTAGTTAATTCCCTGAGTTCTGTTCTTATGAAGACTCTCAGAGACCTGGTGCTCCTGTTCTTCTGTACTTTTCTACCCAAACCCCAACCTGGCTTTAAAGGATGGTGTCTAATCTGAGCTGAGTCATTGGCGTGATTGCTCATTTAATTTCTTGGATTTGGTCATCTCCCTATGCTCTTCCCCTTTCATCCTTGTGTTCAAGACTATTCCCAGTCTCTGGCCATCTCTTAACCCATTGAAAAAATAAGGGCCAACACCTGGGCATAGCCTCGCACTAACTTGTTTATTCTCATATTTTAACAATTAAACACAACTTCCCAATGTAGATGATACTTGTGCTGAATTTTGAGGGATAAGAGTTTGTCAGGCATACATACTTTGTTCCTTTCCTCTGATTGAAAAGAATTAAGCATGCTTCTCCTAACTGAAGCTCACCCCAACCTATTCTTAATTTATTCTTTGTTGTCTTTTCTAGTGTTACTACTTTATTCTTACTTATGAGAGAATGAGCCTGACAGCTGTTTAAAGCTAATGCTTTCTATTTTGGTTGCTTTAGTGGGATCTTCAGAAACTCCCAGAGTACTTCAGATTCTTTATTTATGACAAGGACATAATATTATCTGTTGTCTTGGATTGTTGTGAAGATTAAAGGAGTTAATATTTGCAAAGCTCCTAATCAGACTTAAAATCTTTTAATTGGATTTTTCTTGAGTCTGAAAAACCCTAAGCATAATACTTGACTGACATGAACCTCCCTGCTGTTGACCACTGTATTCTTTCAACTAAGCTTCTGGAAAGATGATCCTCACTTTTTTCCCTTTCTTACCTTCTTTTTCTCTTTTGTCCTCTGTAGTCAATGAGCTGTTGTTTGATGGTCACCCACTGTGGCATGACTCTGTTCTTGCCAATAACATTTTTCAAGTTATCGGTTTAATAGCTGTTTAATGAGCACTCCTTAGGTGCTTGGAATTCAGTAATAAATCAGAAACAAAAGGTACATTCAGGTAGCTGTAATCTTAGGTAATAGAAGCTACAAAACAGACTCATTTTGATAATAGAATATATCCAGTTCAGTATTTTAATCAACACTAAAGTTTTCACTCAAAGGTAAGACTTTCTCCCAGTTAAGAGTTCTCATTGGCAACCACCTGCTGTGAGACAAGGGGATGTGATTGGCTTCTGCTCTTTTTGTATTTCCCCTCTGTGCCTTAGAATTTCCAGTTTCCGACCTTGTTGGCTTCTAGATTGGGTGGAGTGAGAGGAGGAAGGAATAGTGAGGAACTAAGATAGTTCTTACGTGGCTCCCTGAGCCTGGCACATGACTTTTTAAAAAATATTTTTTATTATTTTTAGAGTGAGGGGAAGAAAGGGAAAAAGAGAGAAACATCGATATGAGAAAGGAACATTGATCGGTTGCCACTCATACGCAATGCACACAAACGCACAATCTAGGCATGTGCCCTCCTGACCAGGAATTGAACCATTGACCTTTTGGTTTGTGAGACAACACCCAGGCAACTGAGCCACACCAGTCAGGGCCTGCCACATGATTAAAGCTGACTCTGTCGTATGGGCTCTTTAGAAATTCTTCAGGGGCTTGTTTGTATCCTGGCTGCTTCCCTGACCTGGAGGGGTGCAGGGAGATCCAAATCTCTATGCTCGTGGGCTTTATTTGGTGACTCTTCCATAGCTCCCAGGAATGTAAGTCCAACTACCATTTCCTCCTCCTGGAATCCTTTGGCTTGCTAAGGGACACTGTTGGATTGAACTAAAGGTGACCCTTCTGTAGGCTCTTGCATGTGGCCTACATCTTTTCTGCTGGGACTGCTGATTTTTTCCTTGGTTGTACATTTTTATCTCAGTGATCAACATGCATTCTCCTTCTGCTCTCTAGAGTTGCCAGGTTGGAAATCCACTATAACCCACCTGAAGGGTCACATATTTAGCTTCCATTGAGTCCCCCACTCAGCTTGCTGTGAGGGTGTGGTTACACTTCAAACACTTGGATAGCTCACTCCACAATGTCCTCTTCATAATGTCCTCTCTTTACAGAAGAGAACTTTTACTGTTCCATTTACTCTTTTTATAGTTATCTGCCTGAGAGGGGTTTGAATCACGAGACTGCTTTTGATTAGTTTTCTTAGTAAATTCTGAATTTTGGTGTGGAACCTCCATTTGGTATACAATAATAATTGGTACCTTAGTACAAATTACAATTCTATTATCTTGTTTTATTGGTTTTCAATTTTGGAGGCCAAGAGTCATTTGGCTGACCTCTTTAAAGGTAATTTTAGAATTTCTCTATTTCTGCTCTCTAATTTTATTCTTTGTTGCATTGAAGGATTAACAGTAGGCTGGGGTTGCCCAAGCACTATGCAATTGCCTTTATGATTTACTCTTGGATATTAGCTATTTCTGTCATTTCTAAAAATTCTGAGGAGTATGTCTTTGAAACTCTCAAGGAAATACTATTTATTAAAGAAATAAACCCATCCACATATGGTCAATTAATGTATGACAAAGGAGCCAAGAATATACAAGAGGTAAATGACAGTCTCTTTAATAGTGGTGTTGAGAACAGGTCTGTCATATGCAAAGAATGAACTATACACAGACATTAACTTAAAATGGATTAAAGGAGACTTCAGGCCAAGGTGGAGGTGTAGCTCAATACACTTTGCCTCTGTACACAACCAAAAGTAGGACAACAACAAACTTATTTTTTAAAAGATTTTATTTATTTTCAGACAGAGGTGAAGGGAAGGAGAAAGAGAGGGAGAGAAACATCAGTGTGTGGTTGCCTCTCGCACACCCCCCACTGGGGACCTGGCTTGTAACCCAGGCATGTGCCCTGACTGGGAATGGAACCAATAACCATTTGGTTTGCAGGCCCGTGCTCAATCCACTGAGCCACACCAGCCAGGGAGGACAACAACAAATTTAAAAACAAAAAATAACCATAACTGCCAGAAAATCAAACCGTATAGAAGTCTGACAAACAGGGAGTTAAAGAAGAAACATCCATCCAGATGGGTAGGAGGGTAGGAGGGGCAGAGACAGGCAGCCAAGGTGGAGAGGACATAAGGCAAAGCTGAGGCTGGAGGACCAGGGCAGGAGAGGCGGCAGATGGCATACCGGGCAGTCCCAGATTTGTAGGCAGATAAACCAAAAACAAAGCAAGAGACCAAACAACTCAGGGTTCCAGCTCAGGGAAATAAAACCTCAAAATCTCTGACTGAAAAAACCTGGGTTGAGGTGGCTGGAGAAACTCCCAGCCTCACAGGAGAGACCCATAGGATCCTAGAATGTACACAAACTCACCCACATGGGAATCAGCAGCAGAAGGGTCCAATTTGCTGGTGGGTAGCAGGGAAAGTGACGGAAAGCCAGCTGAGAGCCGAGCAAGTGGCATTGTTCCCTCTTGGGCCCCTCCCCCACATACAGCACCACAATGCAGCCAGGTGGTTGCCCTGCCCTGGTGAATACCTGAGG